TATAGCTCCTTTTCCGACGCCCCCCCCCAACTTGACAGCCCACTGACAGTGCTGGATTTATGCACCAATTTATCAGCTCCCGCCTGCAACGCGCAGCTACCTTACCTCCCCCCAAAACATCGGTGAACGAAACTGCGGCAGCTACAACCACAGTACGACGAGTACGCGGTTATTACAGCTGACGTTCTTTCCGGGACATTTCTCTAGTTTCAAAGATAATCAAGAATGCTGTATTCAAGTTTAATCGTGAAAGATTAGTTGGGCTTGTCGGGAGTCCGGTGGCTCGTCATAATTCCCGAATTTCGTAGTTTTGAAAATGTCTAGGACTTTCTCGGCTCCGCTTGGTGAAAACTCGTAGGTTCAGCAGGGGTTTTATAAGACCAAAACCCGATCGTCATTCCCCCCCCCCCCCGGAGTCCAGCATGCCAAGGCACGTAAACGAATTCTCACCAAGGGATTAACGGACCACACCGTAAGAGCATAGTGAATGGTTAATGCTTGGAGCAAACGAGTACCTACAACAATCGGCGTGGACTCGCCCCCAGCGATCAAGCGTTGAACTAGCGAGGTGCTCGAGACTACCTTACAAACTTGATGTAGGTAGTTTGGGATTTACCCGTGAAAATCTGAATACATCACTCTTTTAAGAGCCTTGGGAATTATCGTCCCGCCATCTGGACGCTGAGCTACCGTTAGGAGCCACAGCATGACCAAGTTTGAGTGTCACGCCGAGGGTCTTGACCATTCCGTAAACTAACGGGAGCACGTCCAAAATAAAAGAAAGTACATGCATGGGGAAACCTATAGAAAGGATCGAAAGGGGATAAGATTCCAAAAAGGAACAAAGCACATTTCGCATGTTTTTGTGCTCTCAAATTCTCTATCAATACTATGACTCCCTTCACATGGTTGTAAAAGGATCGCAGTCTGACAACTAGAGTCCATGTTGCTTCGCAATGCATGCACCTCTATCATCATCATCACTGTTAACTGCGAGAGCCGCGTACTTGTCGTACGGTGGTTATAGCTGCCACAGTTTCATTCACCGATGATATGTGGAGGCAGGGTAGGTAGCTGCGCATCGGAGGCGGGAGCTGATAAATCGGTGAGTAAATACCGCACTGTTAGTGGGCTGTTAAGTGGGGCAGTTAGGAAGGGAGCTATGAACTGAAGCCAAAAGCTCGGATGAATGAGCGCTATTGACGGCGCGACTAGGCCATAGCTGACAATGTCTCTAGCCATTGATGTGGCCCGTCTCGGGTTCCCCGTCCAGGAAGACGGCAATGACCAGCGCAGCTGAGTTTGCTGGTAGTGGCTTTTATACTTCGCTGCCAAGTCATTGTTTGACCGCCTCCGGCTCGTTTCCACCATTCACGTGGCTGTGTGGAAAAAACCCTTCGAGGAAGTTTCGATTGGTATACGCAGCACGCAGCCAAGCCAGCGCAACCTATGCAGTGTGATAAGTTCATCTATCGAAGGTGAGTTATTTCTCCTGAACATCATTCGACGTGCTTCAGCATCGCTTATCCGCCGTTCCTACTAGACTCGGGCAATGTTCCGAAGACACGGATGGTCAAACACTGAAATTATGACGTCCGCAGTGCGCAGCGGCCAGGTTTCTGATCCATATAGTAAGATGGAGCACACCGCAGCATTGTAAACTAGACCCTTGACGGATAAGCTGATGTCACGCCTACGCCACAGGTGATGCAGGTTCACAAAAGCTGAACTGGCCTTCCCAATCCGGATGGAAATATCATCGTTCACGAGATCACCCGGACTGGTACAGCTGCCAAGGTAAACAAATTTGTCTATTACCCCAATCGGTTCATTCGCAAGCATGAGGCTAGGGTTCGAGCCCACCCAGTCTTGTAGTAGAACCTTACACTTTGCCCGTGTGAAGCATATGTCAAACCGTGAGGCGGAATCATTTAGATTACTTTATGTTGTTTGCATTACCACGGGGTCAGATCCAGTAAGGGCTGTGCCGTCTGCGTACTCGATATCTGTGGGCGGACGCCCAGGGAGTACTATAACCTCTTAGGCATTAGAGGCTGATAGTGAGTCTTCTATGAATCGTGTCATGATCGTATCAGTGACGATGTTGAAAAGGAAAGTTGAAAGAGGACAGCCTTGTCTGACACCACTTGATGTGGTGAGCTCAGAAGAGAGCTTCCCCCAGACCGTCACACGCCCGTGTGAGTTGGCGTACAGTGCCTTATGAAGGGTCAAGAATTTACGGGGGACACCTCTGCTCCACAGGCACTGCGGGGCGAGATGGCCCAAGTGGTAAGAGCGCGAATTTACTGACCGGAAGGTCAGTGGTTCAAATCCCACCTTGGCCTCTCGACTTCCTCTGTCTAGATTTGGGCAACCTGGCAGTATCCCAGCCCTCGTGTTTCCTTCGGGTGGCATGGCAGCTAGGCACCGGAAGATTGCTACAGCTGAACGCCCTACAGATACTGCCATAGTGCCTGACGGTCCACAGTGTCAAAGGCAGCTATCCGGTCGACAAACGCAACCATTGTTGGTTGCTGGAAGCAGTGTCGCTGTTCCAGAATTTGTCGGAGGGTAAAGATATAATTGATGCATCCTCTTGCCGGACGGGAACTAGCTTGGTCTTTGCGGATCTGCCTCTCCCTGTGTTCAGTCAACCTTCGAAGGATAATACCAGAGAGCACCTTCGATGCCACAGCGAACAGGTTCATGCCACGGTGGTTTTCACACAGCGTCCGCGTATCCTTTTTGAGGATATGGGTAACTGTCAACATGTCCCATTCTTCAGGCACCTTCTCTTCGTTCCATATAGCACCTGTAAGCTTTGTCAGATGGGTCACCAGGAGTTCTCTACTTCCTTTGAAGAGGACTGGCTTCATACAATTTGGTCCTGGTGCCTTCTCGCGTTGTAGCACGGATATTTCGTACTTTATTTCTTCCGAATGACAACTGAGGTTTACCTTCCAACCCTGTCCCTAGTCTCTGACTCAATAGTGTGACCTGTTTGGCTTCGGGGGTTAGGCCCAACCCGAGAGCTCAGGGAATAAGGCATTACTGTCCCATTCAGATGCGGCTGCGCACACCAGGTGCTTTTTGAGCAGCACCAAACTCTGGTTTTCAAACGTATTCCGACCGTGGTGGATAATGCGCCGGTGTTCCTGGTCAACTGTTAGTCGATTGGTGTGGTTTTTGGGGAGACCTTTCTAACCCGTCCTTCCTCGGGGAAGGCAGCATCGCTGCTGCCATAAATATGGACATGCTAGTTGCCTGAGGAAAACACCCTACTGCCTTCACACTCCTGTCGCAGAGGGCAGTATGACTGCCTCCCACCGCCAACAATTTTCATTTTATGTGACGTCCTTTCAGTCCCATTTTGGGCTTCTGTGACTCCTTGTGTAGTTTTCAGCTTGACTGTTTCCGGGTCTTTTGTTTTCAAGTGTTTGATAGGTTGAGTCAATTTCGGTTTGTCGGTTGATGGATTTCCTAGCTGGGTGCTTCCCTGTTACGGTTTCGTTAGTGTAGCTGGTAAACAATACTAAACGCGGAGTGTGACGATATTCTGTCCCCAGCTATGCCTGATTCTGACTCCTAGTATAGCGGAGAAGTAAGAAGACAAAACCTTGTACACAACTTAATGTTCCAAACAACAGGTGATTAACAGGCAATAACGGAAAAATGACAGCGCATATATGTATCCGTAGTTTAACCTTAAAAAGTGCCGGAAGTTTGTTAGCACACACAAAGATAGAGAGTTTTTGAGGATATTGATATCCCCAACACCTTTTGTGAAGTGTGAGTAACAGGTTCGGCGTGGGTCGAACTGGATACGTTCCGGATGGCGCCGGCGTCGGTCTGTCCGCCGCCTGGTAAGAAGTGCTGGATCATCCATTGAGCTGCCGATCACATCCTGTTCTTTCAAAACTGCATCAGCTTTCAGCTCAAAAATATCGAGCAATATGTCCAATGTCACGGTACCCGAACATGCTGGAGTTTCCGGCATGCTGTTAAAGCGGAGTTGGTTTTGATATCAGGTCCACGTGTCTTGACCAACCGACACGTCGTACATCACATTACATCGTTTGCGCAGGATACGACATGTAATCCACGCATCATGTCTCGGGCAATAATCAAGCACGGAACTTCCCTCCTTGATTGGAGCTCCAGCTGCCATCGGTATGTACCTTGACTCAGTAGACTGTGTTGGCAACATGGAAGAATGCGCAGTTCTCAGTTTACGGTCCATGAGTACCTCTACAGGTGACTGGTGGTTTGCCAAAGCATCATTCAGGGTCATTCGGTACACAAACAGGAATATCTGAATGGCTTTGACGGATGTCTCCTCCCCCTCGAGCTTTAAGCAAAGATCTATTGAATGTGTCGACGAACCTTTCTGCCTGACCATTCGATTGCGGGTGGTACGGTGGTGAGCGAACATATGTTTTAGCATGTCGACTGCAAAACTTGAAACTCAGCGGAGGTGAACTGCGGACCATTGTCTGAGACAATGGACTCCGGTAAGCCATGCTGGCGTATTGGATGTTAGAGATGACACAGGAATGATTTCTGGCTACTTAGAAAGAGCGTCAATCAAAACCAAATAGGAAGTACCACATACCAGTCCTGCGTAATCAATGTGGACCCGAGACCAAGGCTTCCCAGGTCGAGGCTAGGGAACCGGTAGTTGATGTGGTAGGTTCTTGACAGCTTGTTGGCGTTGGGAGCAGCGTTTTATAAAATCAGTGATGTGCTGGTCTGTGTGCGGTCAGTATGCGTAACTGCGAGTTATTGACTTCATACGGTTGATTCCTGGATGTCCAGGATGGAGCTGACGGATAACTCGATGGCGTAAACGTTGAGGAATCACGACGCGATCTCCAGACACTAAGCAATTGTTTACAACCGGTAATGCGTCTCTGTGATGGAGGAGCTGTCATAATCATCTTTGAGGTTCGGAGGCCATCGAGAATTCACGAACTGGGTCACCTGAAGCGTCGGTGGCTTCAACAAGCCATGGTGGCTTGTTGAATCTCTGTCATTGTCATGGGCAAGGCATGAACGGACTGGACTAACTGGAGGCCGGCTGCGTCTTCGAAGGCAACCTGCACAATAACCGTGTCCTCTCTGTGAGTTAACTGATTGCCGATCAGGCGAGGTAATGCATCGGCCTGACCGAAGTCGGCGGTGCGATGATATTGAATATCAAAGTCGTATTGAATATCAAAGCATTCATCTTTGAAGTTGGTTGGCAGAATGTGCGGGAACACCTCTCTTTGAATCGAAAATAGATAGCAAAGGTTTATGATCGGTAAGTAGGGTGAAACGGCGACCGTACAACAACTTATGGAAACGCCGGACGGCGAACACTAAGGCCAAAGCTTCTTTCTCTATCTGTCCATAACGCTGTTCTGCTGGTGTTAGTGATTTCGACGCGTGCATGATGGCCTTCTCCGATTCGTCTGGGAAGACGTGCAGAATGACGGCACCGACTCTAAAAGTAGAGACATCAGCTGCCACGATGATAGGTAGCTTTGGGTCGTAGTGGGTCAGTAGCAGATCGGAACTGAGCATTGCCTTTAGTCTGCAGAATGCTTTCTCTCATTCTTCTGACCAACACTAGGGGACGTCCTTTCCAAGCAATTGGTTTATTGGGGGTCGAATTTGTGTAGCGAAGGAAAGAATGCGAAATTATAGATGGTTAACCCAAAAAAGGAATGTAATGATGGGACATCCTTAGGAGGTGGCATCTGTTGTATAGCTCGAAAGTTCTTCGGGTCAGGATGACGACCAGAGGCGTCGGAGATGAAACCCAGATACTTCACTGTTGTCAAGACGAATCGAGATTTCTCAGGACATAGGCGGAGGCCATCGTCATGAATGCGCAGGAAGACGGCACTGATCCTATCAAGAAGCTTTTCGAGTGAGACAGCAATTATCAGTACGTCGTCCTGATACGCGACCACCTGAAATGCCAGAAAGGATGGTGTCCATCAACTGCTGGAAAGTTTCTGGGGATGTTTTGACGCCAAACGGGAGACGGGTGTATTGATGCAGATCGCGGTGTGTTGATTGTCTACAGTGAGTGTGATTCTGGTGTGACTTCAACTTGAAGACACTCTTCAGCAAGGTCGATTTTGGCGAAGAACTTCCCACTGTTGAGACCAGCGAATAGATCGTCGGGCACTAGCAGTGTATAGTGGTGTTGCCGAATTTGGGCCGGTTGAGAAATCGTCGCATATGTGGATGTCACCGTTGGGTTTCCTCACAGCGACGATCGGCGCTGCCAAGGCGGAGTAGGATACAGGGGACAGAATGCCTTTTTGTTCCAGCCGTCAAAGTTTGGTACCCACCAATGGTAGGGAACCGTACGGGATTGGTCTCTTTGGACGGCGTAGCACCTGGCAGGAGGTGGAGGACTGTTTGTGTCGGACTACGCTGACGGAGACCGGATTAGAAAACAACTGGAAATCGTTTGATAAAGTCTTATGCATGATCTGGAGGCGCCGGGGAGACTGAACTGTGTTGCAAATGACAGTGATTGGAATGTCGGCTAACCCCAAGCGATCGAACCAATCAAGTCCCGTAAGTTCAGCTCAGGTGCCGTTACGCAACACGTCCCCACGAATGCAGTTCCCCGAAAAGCTACACAGCATTGAAGCTCACCGGAAAGTTTTAGCTCTCCACCACTGGTACTGGGCAGAACGAATATATCTGAAGGGGACAAGGCTGCATCAACCTGTCTTCGCCTACCTTTCTTGGTTTATGTAGTAAGTAGGGCGACCTGGCTAATGCCATCACGCGACGTCTGGTGCACGATGGGGTTGCCTGTAATTGCATACTTCGTGATTGTACATGATCTGAGATACGGTTATGGTATCCGAAGCCATTTTTGAGGACGGTTAAGGTCCTAAGACCTAAACGCACAAATCCAACCGCAAGTCAGATGTGCTTAATGAAAGACCACAGGAGCAGCCTAAATTTTCAAGGAGGAAGTCGCTATATTTTCACCCACCTGACCTGATGGGCCAGAAAACTAGCAGTCAGATATTTATTGATTGACTAACCTGTTGTGATACGACAGTGAAGCATCGATACGGCGAGATGGCTCAAGTGGTTAGAGCGCGAATTTACTGACCGGAAGGTCCGTGGTTCGAACCCGACCTCTGCCCCTCGACTTCCCCTGTCTAGGCTTGGGCAACCCGACAGTTTCTCAACCCTCGTGTTTCCTTCGGGTGGCATGGCAGCTAGGCGCTACAGCTCAACTATTATTTATTATTATAGCTCAGCTGTTTATGGTGGTGTGCAACCTCTTTTCAGCTTGTTCCTGATGGGAAATTTCTTCCACATGGACATCGATACGAGGGTACTTGCTACTGGAGTTTGATAGAATGGCTTCTTTGATGTGTGCCAAGTCACTTTGATTGGCAATAACCAAATTATCATCTAGGCTTCATTCGACAGTTGATCCATGAAACAGCTCTGGAGTTTTTCCGTAAATTCGACTAACCAGGGGTCTCGATCGATTACCGGAACAGGTTTCGTGGTCCTCACCCGTGAAACACATCATCAATTGATCGTACTACGTAACTCCTACAGCTTTGGATGGTCCAGGTAGAAACTCGCCTTCATCGGAAGTTTTGTGGTTCTTTTTGGTCAACTTCCTCTCGATTAGACAGAAGGAGCGAAATAGGCCAGGGGGCGCTTTCGAATGGTGTCCGTGAGGTGTGATTTCGTTACTTTTAGTTGAGACTGGAAGTTTTGTTTTCAGTAACTGCCGTGATAACAACAAATGGTAAGGGCCCTACCGAGGTCGCAGATCACCTCACTAAACCATGCATGTCGAGAGACAGCTGTCTGAAAGAAATAACGACCCAATGAACGCACAAATGTGCACCATTCGGCTACATCCGCCAAAGTTCCTCTATCATCGGGCTCTGTGGAAGCTGACGTTGTACTATTAGTCCCGAGACCAACATATTCCTGATTTGTACTGGGATTTATTTGGGCTTTCCTGTAGTACCAGTTTAATTTGCAACTGAGTGCATGCCACCAGAAAGGGTTTAAGTTTCATGTTTGGTCTATGGATACATTGCCCCTCGGTCGCTTTAAGTGGAGCGGGAAACTCTTACGACTTTCATTTTACAAGGCAGTGTTGTGGCCTGCAGCGCTGACGAGCGGGATATCTGTTTGACTTAATGACTGCATTTTATCGTATATATATATATATATATATATATATATAT